GGAGGAAAGACAACCCCCACCCCCAGTTTCTTCCTATCTGCAAACCTATTTGCATGTTTCATTCTCCTTTTCCAAAGCAGAGGTTGCTTGAGGTTTGTCTGAGGCTCATCTCTCCAGCTACTGCTCAACTGGCACCCACCTTGCCAGGGGCCCAGGGCCAGCAGGCTGTCCTCTCCTATTCTCTCCTGCCCAAGTCCTCTCCATATACTCAAAGACAAGAGGCAACTACTGTTTAGCATATACAATAAGCTTCTACAGCTATGCAGGCTTGGTTTTGATTTCCAGCTCTCCATTTACTGTCAAGGAGGTGATGGACACACTCTTTACTTTTTCTAATCTTCAGCTTTTTCCTTTATAAAAATGGTATCATAACACTTTTTTTCATGATTACAAAGCAAAAGGTTACATATTATGAATGTTAAACACATTACAGCAATAAAATCTTGACGTGTTAAGTTATATATATATATATACCATTTGATGTTAGATAGTCTTATTTAGCCATTCCTATGGGGTCTCCCTGGTGGCCTAGGGGTTGCAACTCAGTACTACGAGGACAGCCTGAATTCGATCCTCAGCCAGGGAGCTGACCTACATGGCTCTCCTCTCCTGTCTGGCCCACTGCTCCCCTCAGCAGTGTACTTCCTCAATCTGCCTGTTCTGTTGCCCACTCCTCTCTGGTTAATCCGCTCACTCCCCCCTCCTACACCTAGGGCCTATATCCCAGTTCTTCTATGCAAACATAAATAAATAATTTTAAAACTTCATATAATTCAAGTGATCTTTAAATTTCATTAGGCATCTTATGCTTAACATTCTTACAACATGAGCAGAATCTGAAGAGAACCTTCAAAGAAGAAAGCATGACAAGAATTCCCGAACGCCAGGTTTGATGGCTTTATACATACTTCCCATGTTACAAAATTACTTGCTTGAAAGAGAATGATTGAAAAGACAAATAAGCTGGTTCCCTCTTAATAAGATGATCTACCTCCTTTGTGATCTACTTGTTTGTGAGCAAACAAAAACAGCAAGCACCAGTTCCTCTGTTTACTGTCCTATTCAGTTTCCTAAAAGAACACAGCTCCTTAGCTTCTGTCATGGTCTTACCGCCTCCCTTAGCTCCTTAATCCTCTGCAAATTGATTCCCTGAAGATCCCCAGTAGCTTCCATGTTGACCAATTCAATTGGCATTTTAGCACTCAGTTTCTTTCAATCACTTTATTGAGTGCCTGCCAGACACTGAGTTCCTGACACTAAGCTACAACACTGGAAGTGGCCATGCATTTTTTTTTTT